ATGGAATTTTCCGCGCGCTGCCCGGACGTAAAAGACGCGAAACGGATTTTCGAATGGCGGAGAGCGGGATCGGGCCAGCGGGCGGGCGGGTGCGATCATAAAAATTGTCAATTCGCCTCGTCACTCTCGAGCGAGAGAGAGACCTGGCTTGAAACTCGCGCGCGTAATTTAGCGACGAAACGGAAGCAATTCCCTCTGTCCCTTCGCTATCTATTTCTCATCCCGCCGTCCGCCGTCCTCCTCCTGCACCCGTCACGTCGTCGGTTTCAGTCACGCCATCGGCACATAACCACGTGTGATCCTCGCTAATTGGCTGAACGGTTAAAATATCGTCAACTTCTGCCACGCTTCGTTCCCCCTCTCCGTCGCACGGTGTTAGCGAGAGTTCCTCCTGGTTTTCCTCCCTTGTTCACACCGTGCTTCTTTCCACCAACTCGCTCGTCAATGACTCGCTCTTATCGCCCGTTCTCCCTTTCCTTCTCGCTTTCCACCCATCGAGCGGCGGACCTAGTTCCTAAACGAACGCGCGTTCTACTCACCGGAACCCACGTGCACGGATTCAAAACAAACGCCGGGAGAGAGAGAGAAAGTCCGAGTTGGAGGAGAGTTGGAATGTTCTACCGTGCGTTCTCTTTTTGGTAAACGAAAGGCTGGGCGTTGGTCGAATCGGTTATTTAGAAACGGTAACATGCGCTGGAAACCTAATTTCATAGCGGATGATGGAGGAGAATTTTTGTTTATTCCGAGTAATACAGGGGCAATTTCGCGCGCGTATGAATGTAGCGTTTCGTGTTTGTAATTTTCATTTAATTTGCGCGCGTTACATTCATTTAATTAACATCCCGGTGCCTCTCTCATGAATATAATAATTAAAAATTATTATTCATAGAGAACATTTTCCAATAATTAATAGATAATCACGCGAAGAAGCAAGCGATAAATAAATTGACTGATATAATAAATTAACAATATTTAGCATCAATATGTCATTGCGCGTATTCGAGATAATTGATTGAATTGTACCGCGTAGGTGATATCATCTTTCGCTAATAACTAGCGACGGCACAGCGCGTGTGATATCATCGAGAAATTGATAAAAACTGCTGCTGTTTCGCGGGTTCGTGATGCAAGCACTTTTAGAGAATCCCACCTGTCGAGCAGAGATATCCGAGCTGTTGCTCGGAAAGAAACGGGCAGACGAGTATTCGAGTGTCACGCCGGATCCCGGACACGGCTGCGTAAACGCGCGCAAAGATGCACCGGAACAGGTATCGACAGAAATGCAAGGTGCATCGTCCAAATATGCGGCGGAATATACGCGACAGCGTAAAACTTTCATAAGGAGAATGGAGAGACTCGAGGAATTCATCGGATATCGGAGGGAACATCGAAAGTCGTGCATTTCCCGTTGAATTTGTATTGAAACTCACCTCAAGTTCTATCGCGACTTTCTTTCTCGAGTAGACACGATGTGCGCGATTAAATTCCGCATTAAAATTCGATTCAAGTCATATCCTACTAAAAAAAAAAAAAAAAAGAGAAAAAGAAAAAAAGGAAAAAACATTCGCGCATGCGTTGACTGTGTAATTTATCAAACTCCTTCCATTTTCGATGACGCGCACCTCGCAGCAGCGTCAGTATTGAAGCAATCGCCACATTCTCGCCGCACTCTATCCGCGATATCCGCGATTTAGAGAAAAAAACTCGTCACCTTTAAGAGACCTTGTGTGAGATTGCAAGGCGAGACGCGACCACTTCCTGCCGCCGCTGCCGTCGACGACGACGACGCGTTTCACAGCAACGTGCGGAGTCGTCGAGTCGTCGCGAGTAGAATTCTTCGCGCTTCCAATAAAACGGAGGTATTTTACGGGGAGGTTACTATGCACGCGAAAAGATCGGTACGCGAGCGTTCAAGTACGAGAGCGCCGATGCGAGAGAACCCAACGGCCGCGCCGGTAGCTAGCTAGCTAGCTGCTGCTGCTGCTGCTGCTGCATGAAAGGACAAGAAGTGTCCTTGGTATTTTACTGGTCGGACGAGCAAAATTCCACCGGCTGCTAATCCTCGGGAATACCGAAACGGGCTCGGACTTTGCGCAAGAAGCTTCTGCCTCGTTTGCTGCGAACGGACGCCGCGACGCCGCGCGCTGGCGCGGCGAGCCGAGAGCGCGACAACCGGAAAGCTTTCAATTACGATCGGACGAAATGTCAACGGAGGAAGAAAGCAGCTGCATATCTCGGGAAATCATCCAAATCCCGAGGAAACATCGTCACTTCGTACATTCCAACATTGTCGCCCGCGAGTCTGGAGTTTATCGATTGATCATCCTCGGAAGAAGCGGGTCACGGAGCGAAAATGCGTTAATTTTTAGGAGAAAATAAAACTACTCTACGATTTGTCTGGGCGGTGCCTCAAGCGGTGATACTTGATTTCAGAGCGTCGCGGTGTGAGCTTTACTCGTTGAGACAAAAAGCTCGGTGGAAGTTTCTAATTTTCATAGAGTCGACGCGCAAGGTCTCGCGTAGAATTGACGACGTAACGATTAGATCAACGAACCCACAAGAATCCCGCCTCGCGTTTCAGATCGTGATATCTTTTTTCTTTTTAGTCAGATACTCGACGTCTTACGCCCAGGAACGAGACCCGGGGAGGAAGAAACGTTTACGACCTTGAAACGGGACAACACGATAAAACGCTAGTTCGTTCCACTTTTCGTCGAAGACACGCGACCATTAACTGAAACGAAAGGTTCGGTTGCGCCTACACCGGCGGAACTTTCTAACTGCAGTATATGAATAACACGGTAAAAAGAATCCGCCGACCACGAATAAATCGATCGCGAAGTCTTGTAACGTAACTTTTCGCGTAAACATTAAACGACAACGAGCGAGAAAGTTGGGAGATGTTGGCGCACAAGAGATCGGAATATTATCTCGTATCATCGAGTATTATTGAAAGTTTCAAGCCTCTCAATTCAAACCCCGCGATTTTCTAAACCCCGCGATCTTCTTACAAAGAAGAAACGTGTTTACAAGTTGCCTCGTATAACCTGCGACCATACCGACTATTTTTAATTTTCTAGATTTTCGACGATTTAATCGCCCTCCCGTACAAGTGTACACTATTAGGACGATTGTTGGTTCAACTTGCGCGCGTTCGCATCGTTCAATGTACCGTAAAGAATATTTTATGTTGTTACGAAGCTCGTCTAGAGATAAGATAATTTAAGAAGTTACACGTAAGAAAGAAGTGTACATTTCGAAAATAAAAAATGTCAATAATACACACACACACACACATAATGCCCCGTCTTTACTCAAGGACACAAATAAAAGAAAACATCGCCCGCGTCGAACTTGACGCGACTGCTCAGGCGACTAAATAGCGTTTAAAGTTACGAATGTACGAAAGTGCCGTTTTGTGCCGAAGAATATCGGAAGAATCGCGGAATTAGTATACCCATTTTTAATCAGCAATTTATTTCTCAACGGGCATCGACTTTTCTACATTTCGCTCGCTCGTAAAGATGGCGATTGTTTGCGATCGTGCTCAACGAGTTTGCTAATGCGGTTTATACATTTTAGATGAGACGACGAAGACGACGTGAAGTTCGCGAGCGCAATCAGCAACTTCGGCGAGCGGGATACCGCCGTGAAGAGAGCAGGACGAACTTCTTGTCGTCATTGATTCGAGACAAACTGGCGACTCATGCATAAATCCGTGACACGCATTTTCCTCATTGTTACACGACAATGACGTTACTCGATTTCTCGTCGCCACGGGTTAAACGCATTCAAAAATATAGCGCGGTCGTATCGTGGTGAGAAGTGACAAGAAGTCACTTCAAAAGGAAAAAAAGAGATGTATAGTAACATTGTTTTCCTTTCGTCTCGCGAGACAATAGCAAGCGTTTCAGATCCGAGCGTTTGTTGAAACACCTTCCATTCATCGTTGAAGGTTAAAACAAATCTGATATACAGACGACGCCATCGATAACCGGAATACTCAGAGATGGAAAATTAAATAACGTCGTGTTAAATCAAGTTACGGGAAAGCGATTGACGACATTTTCCCGAACGATTGTGACGCATAAATATCTCGCGAGATGAGCGCGAGAATTGCAAGATATATTAATCATATCGTTATATTAATGACGCATGCGAAAATATGCAGCAAACGACTGTTGTGCAATTATGCAAATGCGCGTTAAATTATTATTAGAATTAAAGACTTGTTTGGCATAAAAAGACTATAATTCTCAATGCTCTGAAAATTATCTTCACCTTGAGAAAGACTCAATATATGCAAGGTCAAAAAAATCGTAAAAGATAAGTGCGGATTACGGAGATATTCATGACACAAGAAATGAACGGGGAGAATATTTTAATGTTTCTTTCGCAAAATAAAAAAATGTTACTCAACCGAGTCAAAATAAAAATATTTTAGATATTGCTCAATCAACACAGTAGTTCGCGATTATATATTTTTTGTTTTAGGTTTACCTATGAGATATAGAAAATATATAGAAAATGTTCAATACGTTTGGGACAAAATCGTCATTTCGAAGATCAGATTGTTCGAGAATATTCTTATTCAAATACGTAACATGCAAATCACTTATAAAATTACTATAATTACATATATATATATATACATATATATTACTATTATAGCGACATTTAATGCAGTAATTAACTACGTATTATTAATAGAAACGATGATCTAGTAGCCGGATATAGTTACGAAATTAATAACGCGGTTGAATCCAATCGACGTATATTAATGCACAATGGCTTCATTTCGCGTTTGCAATCTCAATCTCGAAACATGCCGCCATGATGATTATCTCTCTGTACTATGAAATTACATTTGAGTTGACGAGGTTAAGTGTCACCGATACCACAAATATCTCCTCGAATATGCCTTCGTGTCTCACATCGTACGTTTCTTTTTGCGCCCAACAAGTCCTTGTAAAGTGTGAATCTCTTTGTCGTGTACTCACCCGTGATCATCACACAGCTCCGCAGGTGGCCGCAACGAAGCCCTCAAGGAGAACACCTCTTCGCGATCGCAGGACTCCCGGTAGCGTTCCAGTCACATCCTCCTCGGGCAGCCACACGGAACCATCAACGCGAGACACTCCGCGACGCGACACTCGCCCACCGTAGATTCGTACACCGAGACGACAGTCACTCCGCTCGTTCTGGAACGCGCGCGCGTTTTCATTAACCTCCTCTCCGTACACGCTCGCCTCGCGGCTCGACTGACTCTCGCGGAATGGCGGGTCGTTCAAAGTCAAGGGAGCGGACAGTCGAATTTGAGCGCGTCACGTGACTCGCGCCGCTACGCGGCGATTCGTCGAGCCGCTTGCACCTTTCCCCTCGCGCGCGCGCTGCTCGCTTCGCACTGCGCGCCGTGGACGATAAATCGGACTCGACGGAGGATTCTCCTCGTATTTTAAAGAATCTCACAGAAATCCCGCATTCGCGGGATCATTTCTCCGCATTCTCGGCTCATACGCGTAAACTGCGGATCTCCACTTGGAGAGATCGCGAGTACGAGCGAGCGAGCGAGAGCGAGAGCGAGAGCGAGAGCGCCATGCTCGACGCGGAAACGCGGCAAGAGCCGTAGGCGATACGCGAATACGTTCGAACGAAGCTTCTGGCGCTCGGCGGAGTCGGTTGGCCCGATTGAGATGCTCGTGTACGTACCGTATCTGAAATGTCCAGTGAGAGATTCTGACGTAGGCTGTGAGGCACGTCAGAGTACCTTCGTGAGCCGTGCTTCGCCGAACGAATGATCCTGCGATCCTGCAATCAAGACGTCGGGCGGGAGAGCGACTTACGGAATACGTGACGGAATCCGCCGCCGAGGCCGAGGTTAGGCCCAGCTCGGCCGGTGCAGTTGCACGAAGTGCAGCCCGAAATTCGAGGGTGTCACGTGACGTCCCTTCGACTAATCGCATCGATCAGTCGCAGCGCACTTGAACGTAACTTCGCGTGATTCCTCGGTACGTTGGTCGATCGTCGTGCTCCGGACATTGATCGCGCTCGTCGTGGATTACGCCGGATGTTGCTGCCACCACGGGTAAGGCGATCACGCTCTTTACACGCTCGTGCACGCGCCGGAGTACGCACGTTCAACGCTCTCTCCTCGTGACCACCGGAAGCGATGACAATCGGCGTCGTCCGACACGACGCGGAGAAACGGGAAGTTAGGCGCGGTATCGGCGTCGTGCAATGGGCGCCCACGCGACATACCGCCGAAGAGAGTCGAGACAAGGGTTCGTCGCGCGGTGCAACACGACAGTGGCGTTCGTCGGAGGATAGGAAGCGACGAGTGAGCGGCGACGACGATTTCCTGCGCTGCTCCTGCGCCTTTCTCCCCCCTCTCTCTCTCTCTCTCTCTCTCTCTCTCTCCCTCTCTCTGTTTCTGTCTCTCTCTCTCTCTCTCTATCTCTCTTCCCCCCTCTCTTTCTCCCTCTGTCTCTATCGGTCTTCCTCCGTGCGTACACTCTATGGCCGTGCCACGCGGGGACTCACGTCGACCGTGTCTCGCGAGAACTGTACGCCGAGCTGGCGTCGAGAGGATAACGAGACAGGCATCGAGAGCACGAGACTTGGACGACACGACCTCCGCAATCCGCGGAAGGACTGTCGTCCGACCCGCGTTCACCCGCGCCCCACCATTCGACGCGTCGCGAAAAGCATGAGGGAGAGGGAGTGAAAGAGAGCACGAGGGAGAAGGTGAGCAGAGCGAGAGGAGAACGCGAGAGAGTTGTCGGCGTGAGCGAAAGAGAGAGAAGGAAACAGGCCGGACGACCTTCCGACGGTGGTACTCGACCTGCGCGAGCGGGAGGAACAGAGACGCCGAAACGGCGCTACAGCCTGGAAGAGGGTGAGCGAGAGCGAGAGGGATATTTCGCAGGGCCGTGAGCAGCCGACCTCGGCGCCCCCGACGACGTCGCCGCTTAGTCGGTAAGTACGTTTCTCTCTTGTTGGTTGGCTCGCATGTGCCGAGGACGCTCTCTAACCCCGGGGCGAGCATCGATCCGCTCGGCGAGATGTTTAAACATGACGAAACACCGATGCACCGCGATATATTTTGGTCGTGATGACTCATATCTGCATAATGGTAGCTGCCTGTTTCGTCGATAAGATGATTAAGGAAGACAAACTGAGGGATATAATTCCTCCTGAGAATTATTTGACGAGACAAAGTCGTCGATCGTCGAATATTTCGCAGTCGTTCAAAGTCATCCGAAGATATTGAACCGGGTTACTTTAAACGCGGCGATGCACAGCCGCTTCATCAATTTTGACACGTTGAGACGTTCCCGGTTTGTGATCTCTTTCTTCGATCATCGGGGCCGAATCTTGATCATCGGGGGGCTTGACTCTGTAATTTTTTATTTTTGTCTGACTTTTGACAAGATTGTGTTGACCGTCTTTCTCGAGAGCGCCCACGATTGAGTCGGACCTGTTCTCAGTTAGGTTAGTCAGCAATGGTGGGGCTGGGAGTGAGGAGCGAGGGGGAGGACCGACCACCGTCGAGTCGAACGACCGGTCGAGTTTGCGCACTGGACAAAGTATAACCGGAGTGCAAACTTTTTCCGTGTACCTCGGGCCAACTTACGTATCGCAACTGCGGTAGGTCGGCCTTTAAAACCGCTGCAATTTGTCCTTGAGACGAAAGCCAAATCGACACTGCATCAGTGAGAACGGCGTCCTTCCGCTCTGCACGCGATCCTTTCCCGGCGTTAACCCTCGCGATCTTTGTCCGTATTGATCCTACGCAATTCTGGATTTTACTTTCGATAACGCGATTGCAGAGAAACGAGACACGTAATGAAATTTGTCTCGAAAGTGTCGTAATTTGCTTGATTAATCGTTGATTAATCTTCACAGGAGCCTCGGAAGGGTGGCTCCGTGAATTTTGTTTTAGATGGAAGTTTCCTAATTAAGTTTCCCCGTTTCAGGCTAAGACATTGTCTCGGGGATATTACATGAGAATTTTTCCCTGCAGAAATAACATGAGTTGCGCGCAAATTAAGGACATTTTATTACAATGTCAGTTGTTGAATTAACGCTTAATAATTTCGGCGTTCAGCATTCGCATGACAAAAATTCAACACCGAGTCAACTGGAATATCCGAAATTTTATCAAGTCGATCGAGAGAATCGATTAGTGAGAAGGGTGTTGTGTGCTGACTCGAAAAAGACGGAATTTGAACTATATTTTTACATATAGATTTTCCGTTGGATTATATAGATATTATTATAGATCTTTGCTGTTATCTTTCGACGGAATGTATTTCCCGCACCAAGTTCCTTCACCATCTTACTCGCCCATCACGCGGGAGAATCTTGAATGACAAAATGAAAGATAGCATCACACTGAGCCACCGTGAGAGTAACAACATATTTCGTCCTGGGGTTAGGAATTGGCGAAGTGGCGCGAGGTGATTTCGATCGTAGAAAACGCACAGCGATTCCTCCAACGGTACAGACTTAATCGCGAAGCGACGGTAGTTACGGACGCACGCAACATTCTTTCGCATGCACTTGAAGCGTGCGCTCGTTCAATTATGAAATTGCGCTACTCGGGAAAAGTGGAACAAGTAAACGGATTAAAGGAATGTAATGCACTCGCTGCCCGAGGCGTATCGTTAGACTTTATGCGCAAACTTTACGAGCATATCGATGCCTTGGCACGATCGAAATGCTCGCACAAACGTCCGTTACGCTTTCGTTCTTCCGATTATAAGAGGTTTTTACGTTCCTGCCCCGTGATCATTACAGTTCGCCTTGTAACTTGTAAATATTTCCGCTGCCGTGAGCACATCGTGAAACGTTCGGCTAAATGAAATCGAGCAACGAAATATCGACAGAATGAACGAGTCGAGACACGAGTGAGAAGTATAATACGAACGTCTCGCGCGAAGGAGCTGAAGGTATTCGTGATATCGTGCATTGCAGATTACTGAGATCTCTTCCTACAAATTGGCGCGATATCTAAACTCAAAGACATCACTACAGACTGTTTGTATCTCTACATTTTATTTGGAATTTTTACGAGACGACAGATCGCACAATGAGAGAAACTCGTGGGAGTCTCGCGTTACTTCGGAAACGGAATTTTTCCTCTTTTCATAGAAAGGAAAAATTCTCTCTCTCTCTCTCTCTCTCTCTCTCTCTCTCTCGCGTTGATCGATACGATTTCTTACTTTTGCGCGAGTTGCTTGATAGAGCAACGAACAAACGAAGTAACCGTGAGTTATTTGCGGCGGTTTAGAATGCAGCACGGTAGCTCGCCCGGGCGTCTATAGATCGCGTAACACTTTGTAATGCACCGTGGCGGTTCATTTGGGTATTAGGCCATAGTAACGTGTATCCCCGGCTACGAGACGTGAAACTTCGCCTACGGCTAATCGAATCAACCAATCCCGCAGCCTCGAGACGCGGAGCCATGCTTTAATTAGTGCCCAACCTCGACCGCTTAATTCACTCGCTTCGACCTTGAAGGTCTTCCCGTCTTGCCATTAACGCGTGTATCCCCCGACTCTCTCCCGTTCTCTCGCGTTTCAACGATAAAATCTCCATTAAAAAGGAGATATACCCGCCTCCTCCCCTCCCCGCCCCCACCCCTCTTCTCCTCCCGCTTCTCTCCTTTTCTCCCTTTTCTCGTCGAATTTCTCGCCGCTTTTGATTACGAGTCGCGGACGTGAAAAGTACGCGTCGAGCTCGGGATAGACGGCGATGTAAAAATTTATTCGCGCTTGCCCCGCGTGCTTATTTCGTCCTTATCTGGATGTCGACACGGCGGAATAAGTGCCGACGAAAGAAAGGATAAAAAGGGAATAAAAGGAAGGCGTGGAAGAGAAGGGGAAGCGCATGAGAAGAGACGACGACGAGGAAGCACGAAGACGCGAAGTAAAGAGAATCAGAGGCGGCGGCAGGGGGGAATGGAGAGAGAGAGAGAGAGAGAGAGAGAGGGGGGGGTGAAGTTGGGAAAAGCAGAAGAGGGGGGGAGCATTAAGACCAGATTGAAAATTGAATTATTAACGAGCGACCTGCCGCCCAGCATGTAAATCATACGGAAATATTACTTTTCTTTCCGAGGGGAAAATGTGGCTCGAACGCGAGACGTCATCCGGATGCAGTTTCGCTCGCGAGCAATCTCCTCCTCTTCTCTCGTATTCTTGAACTCCCTTATCGTCGTTCTCTCTCTTCCTTTGTTTTCCTCTTTTTCTTTTTTTTCCCCTCAGGCCACTCCACGTTGCTTAAGCGAGCCGCCGTTCCTGTCTAATTTTGCGTTACGTAACAAGTTATCGTCCCCGTGAGACCCACTCGCGCAAAATGCGATGCGCATTATGTGTACACAGGGTGTTCGCTTATTGCCGCATTTGGCGCACCGTAGATCGTGCCGTCCACGCGACGACGTTCAGCGAAATGCTGAATACCGTCGGAAACAGAATGTTACGCACTGTCACCTCAAATCGATCCTTTCGTTATTTGCCACGTTAATCAGCCCAGCTACCGGACAGTCTCGAGTTCAAATTTCGATGACGAAGGAACTCGCTTGCGAGAAGGAACGAGATCTCGCTGTCTAGACTTTCATCTCTGATGACTTGATTCGCTGAAATCTCTCCTCTTAATCGCGACCTTCGCGACCACGACTCGGACGCGTTATCGTCGTGCGAAACGCCGCGTTGCCGAAACGAACACCGTATACATGCGCTGGCTAAGAGTTCAAGCCTGTTGTTTTATTCACCCCCGCTAGCGAGCTGGCTAACGCACCGCGTTTAATTGAATACTAAATATCCCTCTATCAAGCCGCGCGACGCGATACTTTCGTTTAGATACGAGGCGAGGCGGGGGCGGCGCGGGCGGTCGTCGTAGACGAGCCGCCGTAACTTTTTCTCGAGTCTTCGATAATTCTCGCGAAATCTCTCGCGCATTGTTAGAGCGTGAAGATGCAGCGCGCACCGCCGCTACGACCCGCTTCCAATATCTGCGAAGGCACTGACAGATGCGCCTGTACTGCAGCAAACCCCGACTACGAGCTAGTCACGAACGGCCGGTGCACCAGGCGACACGTTGCAAACGCAGAACGTGGTGAATGGGAGAGTTGGAAAGTTATTCGGGACGCGTCACCATTACCCCACCGGTAACACGCCCCTTTTTGTGCCCCAAATCAATTTCTTCTGCAAGACACGGCGATACCTCCTCCTTTTTCTCCACCTTCCTTGTTTTCTTTTTAATTCGGCCATTTGTGGCGACCTCACGTTGACCCAGTGCGGCTCCTTCGTGAAGAAATAATAGTCAGAAATTGCATTGTAACGATACGGTGATGTAAGAGCTGAAATTTGCAGATATTATGCGCTACGTGCATTACGTCCTGCTGAGAGATGCTTTAATCGAACGAATCTTATTACATATCGCGACTAATTTCAAATGTTATTATTTAATGTTTATTTATTGAAATGCTAAAGTTTATTATTATTATAAAATACATTAACATATTAACACGATGAAATTGCATCTCACGCATTGAACTACATTATGTTTGTGTATCGTTTTCATTTTCTTTTTAATCTTCTTGGACAACATCGGAGAATGAAACGTAGATAACGAAAGTAAATAACTCGGATGTTTACAGAGTCATTTTTGCACTCGTCTATTAAGACGCGTGAAATTACGCGGCTGGTAATCGCTTACATTGTGACAAAGACAAACAGCATAATATATTATCGCGAGGACAAAAGTGGCGAAATATTTCGCTTTTGTCCCCACTTGCACAATACGCGGTACGGCACGTCAAAGCTCATTGTTAATGATCACATACATGCTCAGCGAGAATTACACGCGACTCGTTAAACGGTAATAATTTAAACATGATACTATAAATGTTTCTCGCGCGTATAAATGGTCGTCGCAATCGATGGTCGATTAGCGCGTGACGATTAAAGCGCGAGAGGATAACGCTATTAGTCTTTGTTATCCTTTTTTTTCCGCCGTTTTTAGACGGACTGATGAAATGTTTGTACTCCGATACGGACGCGGGCGATGTAGATTGCGAGCGAGTTACAAATTTTGGTGGTGCATACAGCTCGCGGCAAAGAGGGAAATCAAAAAGTTACACTCTTTTTTTGCGTGCGTCACGTTTTTTCGCGATGACATTCGCTCAATCCTTTTCAATCAGAGCTGTTATTTTCATTTGCGCGTTTTGATACTACGCCACGAGCATAAAACTCAAACGAAATGTGCGTGCATGGTTTATCAGTGTGTAAAAATTCGAAATTGCTCCGAATGTTTAATCACGATTGCAGGATCAAACGAAGACACGAAGGGCGGATGCTTCCATTTCCGCGGGAAACGGAAACAAGGGGACGCGAATACCGATCGGGACCATTAATTAAGCGCTTTCGCGTCATTCCGCACACGTACGCATACGTATATATATATATATATATATATATATATATATATATATATTCGTGTGGTCCTTGGTAAGGCACATAAATAGTAAAATCACACACACACACACAATTATTTGTCTCGCGTTCGGGAAGCTGTCGAAAGCACACGCCGCTTCGACGGGTAGAAAAGACCTCTTTTCCCGACGACAACGAGCGCTTTTCCCGCCGTCACATTGCAAGCGAGTATACACATAACTGTAGAAGTATAGCGCGCGCGCACGCGATCGTATATTTACGAGATAAAAATACGTAAAAAGTCATCGGTTCGCCCGAAGGAGAACCGACGACGTTCTCGCTTGCGGCTACCGAACGATCAACACAAACGTGAGTACAAAATAATCCATTCTTCCTTTTTTTTTTTCTATATTTCTCAGCCCTTCCCCTTCTCTCTCTCTCTCTCTCTCTCTCTCTCTCTCTCTCTCTCTCTCTTCCTTCTGTACCCTTTCCAACTGTAAACAAATAACCGCTGAAAACGATTTATCAAGTGATATCGCATAGGAGTATTATAACATTTAATCAGACATTTTATGTGCGTAACTACCATTAAACATACGACGAGCGTACGAGATGAGAGGAGCGAAAATAGTGCGAACTGTTTCAATGAAACTTGATATGAAACATCATGAAACTGAATATGTTAAACATCAAATTCATCTGCTTGTTATTTTCTTCCACATCGAGCCGCACATCCAATAATTTATCTCTAGTATTTATTATAGACACGAAAAAATATACGTATACACGATATATTGCATATACAATATTTCATACACGCAATATATTGTACATGAACAATAAATGCCGAGATGATCGGGATACTTATGGCAAGTGTGAATGTACACTATTTTACAGAGAGAAAGTGGTGCGACTTTAGCCGGGGTCGATCTCGCATGTCGCGCCGATAAACATTTATTCGCGATTACGAGACATTTTCGCGGATCACGTCGAGGCTCACCTTTGCACGCCGCGTAAGAATTTCATTCCGCGGCCCTTAATTAAACGAGCGGGTCACGACTAAGGTCTAATTAAAAATCCAGATTCTAAAAAAGTTTCTCATTAAAGTTTCTTCAAGATCTTATCCCCAAGATTCGGGTTAGGGCGAGTTAGGTCGTACTGTCGCTTCACAAGCTCGACGACCACGGAGACGCTCGCTTTCTTAAAGCATTCAACGGCTAACGAAACAGCACGACTCGTCAGGTATGCATGTGAGAACCTGCCACGACAGTTTATGTCGACGATGATCTGACGCGTCCACTCGACGCTCTCGAGCCGAGATGATTGTCTTCTATCCCGCATATCTCGGGGATTGCGAGGACGTCCTGCTTGAGCCTTAAAGATCGCCCACGATCCTCAGGCTAGGAGAGTCTGTTGAATCGTCCAGGCGTTCCAGACCACGCAGTAACCCTCTCCGTCCAAAAGCGTGCCGAAGCTTTGATTTTCTCGCGTTGCGAAAACGTCGATCGACGACCTCCAACCTCCCCTTATCGCCTGTCACCTCGATCGCCTGCCACCTTCTCCCCCTCGCCAGCGAATTAGGGCTGCTGGAAAACGGAAATGCGCCGTTAATCTCTCAGCGCGACTCGATCAGCTCGCGCAAATTCGAACGGCGGAGATATCTTGTCGCACGCTTTCGGAAATTCGAGGATGTTTGAGGACCGCTAATGATTACGGATTAGCGAATATTGCGAGCATTGACTGCGTTGCAGTTAATAAATAGCGCCATCGCAAATAATCACCTGTCGACATTAGTCAGCCGTGGCTTTAATTAAGGCGTAAATAAGAGTAGATATTTTTTGTTGCGTGAAAGTCTCCGATTTAAACCATTGTTTTCGAGAGCCGTCTATTATTACGTGCGCGTGGATGAAATTAATTCTTGCAAATCCGGCAATATTTTCGTGCACGGTGAAACTGAAAGAGTATTTCGTTGTACGCCTTTGAGCGACGAATCTTCAGACGACGACGACGACACGAGGGAACAAAAGACGGAGATTCGCGCAGACTTGAGAAACGTCTTGATATTCTCGCGCTCGTGCTTAGGCTGTGGCGATTAAAATACTTTTATGCCCCAAACCAGGTCGCTTTTGTTCCCGCCGGGTTTCCGGGTTACGGCTGTAAGCAACCGTCGTAACGGATAAAATCGCGATCCTCGCGATCGGAGCGAGAAATAAGGAGAAATATAAGAATAAAATACAATATCTCCGGGACGGATAGCTTTTTCTTTATCCACTTCGGAGCTCGCATCGACGGGTAAACCGACGACGTTAAATCCAGCTCTCCGGTAACGTCCCGTAAAACCAGTTTTACTGAACTTCCTTGCCCACCTTGCGATTTATCGTCGACCTTTACGGCCGGCCCTTACAAGATAATCCGCGTCATGCGAAAAGCCTTGATGCATGGCGGGCATGGCGTTTACATGATAAAGCCACATGAGCCCCGTTTCTCCCGTATTTTAAAGGGTCGTTTAAAATCGCACGAAAACGGTCATTAATATCGCCGAAACGTCGTTAACCAGAATTATTGCTGAGACGGGAACATGGTTCCTCTTGCGCGCCTCGTGTCTCACCGATGACGTTAGAGAGCGCTGAAAATGCCCCGGAGTGTCCCGGAAAGCTGGCTGTAATTTTTCCGTCAAATCAGTACGATCCGTTTCTCGAGCTGTGCAAGTACGAGAACAGCAGCGCGGAGCTTACGCCGCGCGCTTCCGCGATCATGAATAACGTTTCGCAGGCATTACTTTCGCAAGATCGGGCCGGTCGAGGACAAAGCTCGACAGCTCGTTGCGAGAATGTATCCCTCGGTAGCGAGCGCGGTCAATTCAGCAACACTGAGCGAATAATTCCGCATTTCTATGGGACAGAAATGCAAGGCAGAGGCTTAGCGTAACGAGACGTTTAACGAAACATCCAGGAGCGCGCGATTCGGGCTAACCCCGAGAAGAAGCCGAGAGTTCAGCGTTCGCGATCCGCTCGTCTCACCTCCGTCTTCTGGCTCTCCAGACTGTTGAGAGCGACCGCCTCTGGAACGGGTTCCTCCTCGACCTTATCCGGAACGCCGAAGACGGTCCTGTACATGAAAGCGGAAAGCAGGCCACCGGCGATCGGGCCGAACCAGTAGATCCAGTGACGCGCCCACTGATTGTTCCACAATGCTGGTGCGAATGACCTGGCCGGGTTCATGCTGCAACCGGTATACGGGCCAACTGTGGTCGCCAGCACGGCCACCGTAAAGCCGAACTTGATCGGCGCCGAGTCCGTGTTCTTCTCGTTCCTGATGTCCCAGACGGAGCACACGACCAGCATCAGAACGCCGGTGGCGATGGCTTCGAGAAGAAAGCCCTGGATCGCGGACAGGCTGCCGTGTATATCGGTCACGCAAAACACATCGGCCTGATCGATCGAGCCGGATGTCAGTTGCTCCTTCGGCGTCACCACCTGCGAAGAGAATGATCCGTGAGAAGGAAGTTGGCAGCGAGCAGTGCGACGGGATAGAGTTGAAAACGAACGTCGTTAGAAGCCGAGGCTTTTATCCTACGAGTGTTTGCTCCCGCGGACTAAGTGGCCAATAGTCGAGTCGCGGACGCGACGTGGTGTGACGGGAATCGAACGACCGTTCTTGAATCGCGCGTCATCTTCTTCGCCGCTCGAATTAGGCGAAACGCGGGAATCGCGGCCCGCTGTTTTTCGCGCGCGAGGAGGCGCGAGGACGAGAGCACGCAGGAGGACGCTTCGGTCGGTTTTTATACATCGCGCTCCGCCTTCTCGTTCAATTTAATTTAATAATTTTTCCTCTTGGCCGAAATTAAAACTGTTATCTTTCGACCGGCATTGTTTGCCTGCCGTTTATCGCGCGACAAAATAACGCGCGCCGCGCTTCATTGTGAACAGAGGCGAAACAAATGCTATGGAAATGTGAGCGAATGAAAAGGAAAATGCGTCCTTTTATTACTCGTGAAAGCAAATACCTCGATAAAAGTCCCGGATACAATGACGTTTATTTTGGTTTATTCCGGCGTGATGCGCTCGCGCATTTTCAAATTATAAATGTATTAGATAATTCTCTCTCTCTCTCTCTCTCTCTCTCTTTCGCGCGCGCGCGCGCGCGAGCGGACACAACAGCGACAAAGGACACTCGCGCGAATGGGTGGTCCTGAAATTTCGCCGGTGCGCGTCCTTGTGTTCTTACTTCCGAAGAAATATTTTCGCCTCTACAGCATCATTATTTGCCGCGCCTTTGTTTACACATGACCGTTGTTTCCATTGTTTTCACGATGAGTATCGAGCGTCGGCCCGTAGTTTTCCGCGATCAATGAACCTCGGGGAATGCATTTTTCCGTTATGCGCGAAAGCAGCGGAGGGGGGGGGCGAGAGGGGGGGTGGGAGGGAAGAGAGGGCCCGTTCTGTGCTTCCGAGCGTTTCGTTGTGCTCGGATTTATCGGGATATTGCCGCGCCGAGACGAGACGTCTTATACACCGCGAAACAGATACCGCGGCGGCGAGCCTCTCCTCTGATTACGCGAAAGCGTTCGTTATTAATTGGACAGCACGTGCGCTGAATTGCAGATTAAGCAAAGGTCGCGAACCGCGTCTCGCTAAGCGTTGCTACCATCCGGCAAATTCCCCTCGCTTTATTTTGTCCCGCTGTGCAACCCCATAAATATCTCCCGCGCGTGCGCCCCATCGATAATCACTTCTCCGATTGAGAGATGTCATTGTGCGAAATGTTAATCGCATCTTTAACACAACCGCCGTGTCTGTGCGCGCACATGTGTGCGCACACGCGCGCGCTGTGTTACTTCGGCATACTTATTAAATCTGAATTATGACATTCGCGTTGAAAATGTGTCACCACGTCAATAGGACGTGTGTCAATAGGACGGGAGTAAAAATTCTATTTACACAGCGGGTATCTCTCTCTCTCTCTCGAGCGAGCGAGCGAGCGAGCGAGCGCCAACACCTCGCGCGTTTTTCGACCAAGAGTGTACTTCATAATGCGTGCTTGGAGTATTCCGTATCGCTGAAATACGCCTCCATTAAAAACAAACAGTACTACCCGTGAAAACAAACAGTACTATCGCACGGCCAAACAGCCTCGAGACGAAACGGCACGTTCTAAAACAACAGATGTAAATTTCAAGCAAATCTTCAGCTCTTACACTCATCCCTCCGGCAAGTTACGATTTTACTCAGCCGTAATCTTTACGGGAGCTGCTCGCGCTTCACCAACTTGTTTCTCTTTGCTCGCGTGTAATTAGAGTTGCCCGGCTACTTGTATTCAGCGCGTAGAGTTATTCGGTTTTCTTGCACCTACCTTCAGTATACCGTATCCCACGATACCGCCGATGACCTGCGACACGATGTAAATTAAAGCCTCGGGAATGCTCTTTTTGCCGAGGACGACGGCGCCCATGGTGACTGCAGGATTGATGTGAGCCTGACTGATGTGGCCGATGGACTGAAAGCGAATCGGGGAATTTTTCATCGAGATCATTCGTACATACATAATCATCAGCGTCTCGAGAGAAATATCTCTCCCTCTCTCTCTCTCTCTCTCTCTTCCATTTTCTTTTCACCGATGATTGTCTAACGTTGCGTTTTTATCGACTCAAGCATCGTGACAAATTTGAAATTACCGCGACGCGCGGGTTACGCGCCGTGCCTTGCCGGAGCTAATGAGATACACATCGCGCTCTGGAAAAATCCGCTAACGAACCGCGACGCGAACTCTATCCGGGGCTTCTATCGCGGTTTTGCGAGCGCGAGTGAAAGGCGACGTATAAACGCGATACGGCGCGGTGAAACGCGGCCTTTAGCGCCGGACTTTGCGCGAAGCTCGATGCGTGAGTAATACATCTCGATGGACTGGCGAATGCTCAAACGACCAGAGACCGCGTTAATTCCGACGAATTCCACTTTCGGCTGTTTTCGAATTATTCAAGGGGCATTACCGCGGGACGCCGATGGTCGCGAACGAGCCGCAGAGGGAGTCGAGATTCTTTGGCATTTCCATCATGGGAACGCGACTCGATTTCGAGATTACCTCGATGTGATCCGGTTCTACGAGTTCCCCTCCCCCTTACGTTTTTATTTAATCATGGAATCCACGCGGGTGTACGTACGTGTGTATGTGTGTGTATATTTCGGGCACAATTGCGCGCGGGATTATGTAAATCGTGCCGTCTGCAGTCTCCGCGCTGCCGCCATATGGTGCGACGCGACCGCGGTAGTATGTTTCCATCCAGGACTCTTCAGAGAGGAATTTATAAGACTACGACGATCGCGGAGAGAACGATCGAGGGACGTGCCACGGCCGAGGGGTCCTTCGACCTGCATACTGACCTGAATCACAACCATGACGACCAAACCGAAGGTTAGCGCTATCTGCAGATGAGGCGGTGTAACGCCGAGGCTACCCACGCATCCCATGCATCCCAGGAACACCAGGAGAGCCGTGCCGATCAGCTCCGCCAAGCCGCAGAACAGATTCCGCTTCACGGTGCCCTCTCCCTGCATCCACTTCTTGAATCCTAAAAAAAAACCGGCCGTTTTTCCCGTTTTAACGAGATTTGCGAGACGACGACGACGTTCACTCGCCGACACTGTACGCTCGATACGATATTAATTCGCAACATTGTTCATGCGCAACGAGAGAGATCCGTCGTCCGGCTGAGGGACGACGAGACCTCTCGGCGACGCGTTACGAGGTTAATGGAAAAATTAACTTAACATTATATACGAGCCGAGAGTATAAAGGATCGGGTTTACATTTCGTCTGGACGAAATCTCCGACGCGCATCCCGTCGGCGCGGCCCGACGACTCCTCGGCTACCTTCTCGTGGCGTGGAAACGAGAGCAGGCTGCTGGACCGACCAGTCCTCGACCGCCGCGCAGGTTCGCCATTGAACCTTTTCCTCGGAGGAATTTCCCGAAGGAGGATCGTCGCACGTCGACGAGCCGTGCCGAGCCGGGTCCGTCCAACAGTCTGCCTGGCCGACGCGCTCTCACGTTACTCGCCTCTCTCTTTGCGACGATTCCGATACATTTTCTACAGCGTCGCGCACGGGCGACTAACGTGGCACTGCCTGCGCGACTATCGAAGCCGACGGAGCAGCTCTCGAGAAAGGTAGATACCGTATCGCCGCCGGCGAATAAGGTCGTCGCGCGATGTACCGGCTCGGCTCGCCCGTACGGGAAAAAGATCGAGCTGCCGCTCGGCGCTCACTGGTTGACGTTGACGTAGACGTTACTTTGTACCGCGGCCCGAACGAAACGCGGATCGGCTAAATCAGCCGATTACATTAGCCGCTGACAGGCGTTTAACTATGCGAGACGCCGTGCGACGAGCGGCGCGCGCCGCATCGCGCGGTTTCAAAGGGCGCCACGCTTCGCGTATTCGCTGATATTCGCGGCGAACTTGTCGCTAATTTCGACTCACCGGCTTGACGAAACGCGCGTGTGCTTCCGATAATACGCGTCTTGGGGAAGAAGAAGCGTTCGCGGAGAGACGGAGGTCTCTTAAAATCGCACTCCCGACTGTACACCCGCTTCTCTCGCGATTTTAACGATCGAGAGATCCTTGGAGAGAGAGAGAGAGAGAGAGAGAGAGAGAGAGAGAGAGAGAGGATGGAGCGAGTCTACAATTTTCGGCGGCGCTTTGAACCAAAGTCCTTGCGAGGCCGATTCGATGACGACCGAATGACGGCATACGCGAGACGAGCTCCTTCGAGGCGTCCAACTGAGGGGAGGAGCATCCCCTCAGCAGAGGGGGCGTGTACGTCAGATGACGAGGCGACGGTGACGCGGAATGATCTTGACCCGCTTTATTTTCGGAGGCACAGAACAATCGGCCCTCTTATCGCGCTGTGTCGCGGCTAGAGTAGTTTGCGTCGCGCGAAACAAGCGCCGTTGTGATTTATGCCCAACTTATCCGCGATGATATATTGCACTTGCGACTTTGCGGCGTCGTCTCATACACATTCAACGCATGAGTGCGCAACGTGCGACGCGCCTCGATCGCACTGAGCACTCGAGCACTTCGAGCGGTCGATTTAATATACAGAAAAGTTCCGTCAAACGCCGAATGACCGGAAATCGACGCGCTGATTAAGTCGCGACGAAGTCGCGACAACGGCATCATCCTACGAGCAAATGAGTTGAAGCGCGTCGCGCCAACGCGTCGGCGATCGGATTTGCCGTCGGGATGCGCTTGTCGTTTCTATTTGTAGAAAAATGCTCGATGCTCGAAAATTGCGCGACCATCGATCCGCTGATATATCGAATGGCCGCCGTATGTCGACATTGCGGACGTAAGCGTTTTGCGATACACAGCAGATGCAAAATTTTGTTATCGCGTGCACACTCCTCCTCCCCCCTCGTCGTTCCCGAAAAAAAATGATCCTCTCACGGCTTCGCAGCTGCTGTAACGTGTTCCGCGGCTCATATTCGTCAGTCAAAAGCATATTCCGACAGCAGTGTCCCCGTGGCACACGCGATGAAAGTAATTCAATCGCTCGTAAATGAATCAAATCGTTTCGCGAGTACAGCTAATCACTGGCGATGTCTGTTTACATGTCGCGATTGACGGAAATGTAAACGATAAATTTGTTAACGTGCCGATACGCTCAGCTCTCAATGGGCTCGCGACGAGTGAGCCATAAAAACTGGTATTGACACAAATCGACGCTGGATTACGAAACTTGTGGCAATTTAGCGACTCTCCGTTGCAGCCGACGACGTCGGACGCAGATTCCTAACGCGGAAATAATGCGATTGGCGAGTGAGCGGAATCACGGTGAATTAATTATGGTTCTTGTGTGAAGCGATTTTCGTCTCAGCTTCCGCGGAAGGAGAGCCCGCGCGCGCGCTCTGTGTAGCGCGATGGAATCTGTAGGGACGGATTATCGCAAAGCTTTGTCGAAAAAGAATCGTCCTATTTTGCGGTTTAACCTTCAGAGAGCCGAAAAACCACTATAGTGGCGGTAGACAACAGTTGGTTGCATTCACGTTCAACATTCATCTACTTATGTGTGTATAGATATTCGCATATCCCGGATACAAGTTTATACCTCCTGCCCTTCTCCCATTTGCAATTTTTTTCTCCATAAACGCGAGTTAGCGGAAATATGTGAATAAATAATTACGTGCTCACACATACACGCCATAAGTTGCTATAACCTGAATAGGAAAAATAATGCTTGAGTCAAGATATAACATTTCTAAAAAGTTGAGAAAAATGTTAGAAATATAATTATAAAGTGATGCATATAATTAGTATAAAAAATAAAAATTAAAAATAAAAAAGAAGATTGAAAAAATAGAGAAAAATTCTCAAAAACTAAAAGTAAAAAAAATAAGAAAAAGAAGGAGTACACACTCTCTACGTCCATGTCGTTGGCTCTGGATAATGCTAAAGGAGAGCATTATCATATTAGGGAACATCTCTCGGAATAAATTCTCATAATTTATAAGAACTGACAGTTCCATTTTATTCAGCGACCTAGAAAACTTCTGGAAACCTATTTTTGTTAAAATTTGAAAATTTTAACATTGTCTTTACCCCCCAGGGCCGGGACCACCACTTAAGTGATGGTCTCCGTGATCAGTACTTTGTGATCAGTACGATGAATATACGATATAAAGTACATTTTTTATCGATTTTCTTCGAGGAATCTTCGAGTAATCTCAAATGCCGGCTCTCTAAAGGTTAAATAATATCGATATTATATAACTGACTGTGTGTAACTTAACGAAACATCATTCTCTTTTGCTTCTCCTCTTCCTCTTCCTCTTTGGGGGATTGAATTTTGCACGAAGCGGCAATTACACGAACAATGAGCGAAAAATTGTAAAACACCGCGGACGCGGAGACAAATTTTTATCGTATTCGCCGCCGTAAAATAGAAAATATACAGTAGCTCATTCGCGGAATTCTGCTTCCCCGACCGAACGACAAAAACTTGAATAGCATCTGCGTAATAAGTCTTCGCCGTGTTTCCTAGTCCGCGCGAGTTTTACAACGTCAATAAATTATCGCACGGCCTCTTTTTTCTAATGTGTCAAGGAAATCTCGATCGGTGTGTTTACAGCTGTACAATTATAGACGTTACAGGCGGCCGAACTTGTCGACAGATCGGTGATGAAATCCACTTTATCACAAATATCAAGTATGAATGGCGGACGAAATGTCAAGAGTTTAGCGCGAAGCGATTTTATTTTTAAAGCGTATCGATAATTCTTATCCGCCGATAATGAATGAACGCACGCCGTGCGCGATGAATATAGTGGACGAATATTTCTCCAGAAGAGAGCGCACGCGCGTTTCAAATCTCTCTCTCTCTTTTCGCGATTGCCGACTAATACGATAAACTAAAAGTATCGTGTATCGCCGATAATTCAATGAACATTGTTCGACTAATCTCGAATAATATCGCAAACGCAAAGCGATATTGTCGAGTATTGTCGTGGCTGAAAATTGAAATTTTTGCCGATATATACAAAGTATATATAGGCGCACTTAATTATCGCACAATTCCGCTCGACTACAAATTGCTGATGACCCACTCATGCATATCCCGCCAATAAACTTCGCGCACTACGTGCTTCCACAAAGTTCTCGCCAAATCGCCAGTCACTCGGTTATTCGATTTTCTATGCTTAAGTTGCGGAATTGCATATTCATCGTATTGTATTTAATTTACTACCGAGAAAGAGAGAGAGAGAGAGAGAGAGAGAGAGAGAGAGAGAGAGAGACATGCTCGTTACGCGAGTCCTCGCATAAAAGCGAGACATTTTGCAAAGCTCCGAGGAAAAACATCTCAATCCGATCTTTATAGCTCATCATTTCTAATTTGCATCGATACGCCTCGCGATACGCCCCGCGACATTTTCCGCCACTTAATTTTCAAAGCTCACTTCAAGATCGTTAATTGAGCGGAGAACGACGGGAGAACGCCGTCGGACGTCGCTTTTACAGCGTCGTAACGTCACGACGATCAGAATGAAGGATTAAACGCGTACGACCGACGCGCACATAGTAGCATCGCGAATCGCGGATCGCGATGGATCACCTGGAGATTACGCCCGGCGATTTTTCACGCCGCGTCGACAAATCGCGCCGGCGCGGCGCGACAAAGCCGCGAGCGCGAAAGAGACGCGCAAAAAGACGCCGCTCGATGCTCTCGCGTCTTTAATCGCCACTCAAGACGGACGATCGTCCTCCCTCTAACGAAGCTTTAATCTACGATCTGCATACAATCGGCTAATTCGCCGCGGGAACGCCGCCAAGAGATTACGCCTCAATTAGCCGGCATAATCCGCCCGTTAGACCGATAAACGGCGTTATAGTAGTAGCGGCCGAGCGCAAGTTAAACGTTAGTTTAACGCCGACACAAATTGACTAATGATCCGTGACACGGTGCGTACACGACGACGATAGGTCGACGCGATCTTCTTGTGGCCGCCAAGGTCGCGGGGATCGATTTTCCTTTACGTTCGTATCGACGCCAAGTTCCATTCGTCCGACGTAATCGGCCGTCAGTTTTTGACGCACTCGCCGGAGCCGCGCGCGCTTCTTTCTCGAAAGTCGCTCGATTCGCGAACGGTGTTACATCACGCCGAGCGGCGCAGTTCCGCTGGCGCGGCGCGGCCTGGACACAAATCTCGCCTTATAATTATATAATCGTATTTTATCAGCTTTCTTTTCTTAGCACGCACGATAATGAACGCGCGTTGGCGCATAGCTCAAGCGCGCTCCTTATGTATGTGACGTCACCGCACGACTTGGGTCGAATCGTGCAGCAAGTGCGCGATCATCGATAGAATCGCGGTTGTAAGTCGTGTCTGTTTATGAAATGTATCCTTTAGGATAACGAGAATGTATAGAGTTATCGTTTAATCGCCTCCGGCGATAGAGGACTTTTCCGTATCTCTTTCAAGTTCTTCGCATCGGAAGACGCGAAAATACCTCCCGGAGGAGACTTTTCAACTAGCTCGCCGATATTACATAATCGGTCATCGGATCCATCCGCCAATTACGCCAGATTGCACGACGGAGATGCGAGCGTGGGAAGAATTTTGAATGCAAGAAGTGTTACGTGGCGAAGAAAACAACGACGTTGAAGTTTTAATTCGTCGGACAAGAACTTCCGTGTCTCTCCATCCGCTCCCGCGATTGTGATCTCTCACTCGTCGCGCGTGTTTCCTCGCTCGAGATAATTCGCCCGGGATTCTTTTTCGTCGTACGACAATGCAAAATTGATTGACCGACAGCGATGATCGTTACTTCTCCTCACTTGTATCGGCATTAATTAAAGCCACACGCTAACGACGCACTTTTCGAAGACGTATCGCAAAGAAAGTCCCCCCCCCCCCTTCCCGCTCTTGCATGATTAACACGCGCTCGTTAATTATAAATCAGCACTTATTTAGTGGAACTGAGATAACCACAAAACAGCTTCGCCGCTTACATACATACGACATCGACATCGGAATGAGTGCGTTAACACACACTAGAGCGATAAAGACCGACGTTGCTCGCCGTATCGACTCGACGAGTCGAAAGTCTAATCGCACGCCGACTGTTGTATAAATATTCTCGGCGACTTCGCGCTCTTGCCGTTCGGTAAATATGTATGTAAAATATGCGCAAATAATTCCAAAATCCGTCAAGTGCTCGCGCGTAACTTCAATTTCAATAAATACGAGACAAGAGAGACTCCACATCACGCGACATGCCGTACGACGTAGCCGAAACTTATTAACGTACATTCGTCGCTTTGTCTGTTTCTCCATCGTCGCGGAAAGTTCGTAAGAACCTTCGCGATACGATAACAGTAATAAAATTTTCGAATATTTCGAGTGCGAGTGACGTTACGTACCGCAACATAATTATAAAACAGCTTGATGATTTCATCATACGTGCAGTAGTCTCTCTGTATGTCACAGGATATCGCACGCAAAATGCACAATTTTAGCGAACAAGCGAATTAAGTGGCGTAATAATCGTGGCTCGGCAATCGAGATTTCCCGTTTGAAACAAGTCGGAAACGGATCAATATTGACGGATCGCCTATCGCGGGATGAGAGAGAGAGAGAGAGAGAGCTAGGGAAAGGCAACTTCATCGTCAATACGATATCTTTTATCATATCATAGAGTAAAGAGATGTGCCATCGTTCCATTTCTCAATCGCCTTCGCAGACTCGTCTTGCCTAATAAGTCGCGTAAAACAAGAGAGGGGCGTGAAAAATCATTGCAGCTCGCCGAGAGCGGCGCTGCTCAAGAGAGCTGCACCTGATGCGCGCGCGAGCTTATTCCGTTGGCCTTATCAACGAAACAACAATCTCTCACGGCGCGTCGATAAAAATAGTGCTCCTGCCTGAACGGACGGAGGAGGAATCCTTGAAATTATACGCCGCGATCTCGCAGAGCGAAACACTCGCGGTTTCGATGTGCAGAAATTTCAGCGATATGGAGTATCTCGCGAGGACGATCTTTCTTCCTCGAGGCAACCTCGCGCGCGCGCTGTGTGCAACCGGCGGCGATCGCCGGTGAATGAAATCAGAAGCACGGCGTGGCCGTGGATGAGATTGTAACTGTGTCGCACGCGAGTAACGCTTAACATATTAATCGCGCGAGGACGACACCGCGGCCGGGGGATGTTCCGCGACGCGAACGCAGATTACAATGCGGGCGAAACCGCACCAGGTGTGGCGGTAATGTTCGACGCTCCGGAATACCTCTCCACGGAGAGAGATACGACGGAAATTTAAACAATGCCGGATTTCAAATTCGTCCCCGTGCATGTGCGCGAAATCTTCACGCCGCACGAGGCGCGCGTCGCGTAATTTTCGCGCGGAAGAGAAAATGGTCACGAAGAGAAAATGGATCGCCGTGTGCTCGGTCCACGGATTGTAATATTATATTAACATAAATCTCCTATTAGAACGGATTATGTTCCTGTCGTCGTATCGCGTGTCCGCTCCGCGCACGGACGTCGATCACAATAGACGTGTGCGCGCATCGGCGATAAAATTGCCCACGGTGATATTTATGCGCGTAATTATCCAAATGACACATCAATTCGAAAATTCGTGTAACGTATATGCGCTTATGTTAGGTATAAAAAATATTAATTGAGATCCCAATGGACGCCGATGAATCCCGATGTAATACATGCCGTATATAATGCAAGCGTATTATTATACGCGCCACGGCCAACGGTATTAAAATTCGCTACGTTAAACACCGCGATGCGAAATCCAATTTGAATTCGCAAATTGTTTTGCCCGACAGAGCCGGGCGATAATTGTTATCTTTCGTAAATTGCTCGATATTGTCGTTTAATCGTGCTAAAGCATGCACTTTGATCGTTGAGCGAATGATTCCGTGAAGGATCGAGCGACCGCGAGCATCGATACTTGGATGGGGGAGAGACTCCTGTAACCGAATCCTGCAACCGATTTTCTCTTTGACTCGCGTTGAATCCTGAAACGAAAATTCAGATGCGCAAAGAGGGAGATCCCTACTTACCGGGACGAGATTTTTATTCAGTTGGATCGTTCTATTATCTCAGCCTACTTTTGATACGGCCGAATATTCGGACTAATCCGTCGCTATCGGTAACGAAGCGATAACGGAGATATCGTTTCTTGTCGCCGATTTTTCAGCCGGTCTCCATTCCCGTCGCACAAACCGAGCTCTCTTTTTCTCGCGCACGAGAATCGCGAGAAACGCGCATCCGACAAATTTTTCGGTGCTTCCGCACCGGATTAATCGTAGTAATTGTTTTCGCGCTCCCTTTAATCGCTCGCTTTCATTCTGTTCCACTGTTCTCGTGCTTTTCTATCTTTTTTCTTTTTTTTTCTTTTCTCGGCTACGGTTAATCCGGCGGAGCGGAGTTTTTATATTAATCTACCGTTCTCCGTATGACAAAGCCAAGGAGAGTTAATGTAACTGGATTCTATTTTCACTCGGTTAAAATGGAAGTCGAAGGTGAAGACGACCAATTCAGTATTCGAGCGAAGGTCGACGGCCCGAAGTTATGAAGTCACTTACCCGCGGAATGGCAACGTTACCGCCACTTCCAATGACGATCACGAAACACGAAGACGAATCATTATGTCACGGAGAAATTTCGCTCGCGCGCAATCTAGCCCTGAAATAGCATTTCGAAATAGCTGCGTCGCGCTAGGGCGTTTCATTAACGTGTAAGCTGACTAATTTAATGCAGCTAACTAACAAATAGCTCCATTTGCGAAACTTCCGTCTCGTTGCGCTCGACTCCGCTGCAACGTTCTCGTAGCCGTTCCTACTTGATCGTTTGTCATCAACGTTCAAACGCCACTTCCGTCACGCGATAGAAAGAAAAGAACACGAGTATTTACATGCAGCGTCTTACATTTAATGCTTGAGTCATGGCTGTCTGATCTGTTCGTCCTGCGTCGTACGACTGTCTCAAAGTCTCGTACGTTCGAGTCGAGTCCAAGAATATGTTTCGCTCCATATACGAGCGAATCAATACGCAAGCCTGTGTCGTAACAACATTTAAATCGACTTGAAGCTTGATTTACCGCTTCTTAATTATGAACACGTTCAAGGTCTCAGACCTCGTTCCGTCGGTTTGCGAACTGTGTCACGCTTCCTCTTCCGATGTTTTATCGCGAACGCACGGTCTGTTTGATAGCGCCTCTATTAACACGCATTAACACGCATCTTCGCGTGTTAACTTTAAATCACTTTCCATTATGATCGTGCGCCATCGAATGTGAAAATTTAATGACTAACATTAATTAAAAACCCATAGGCGACGCGTTATTTCGACGACGTAACCGATACCACCGCGCCTCTCGATAACGCGTCCCAAACGCACTCGCTCCGCGGCCGCGCGCGCGCGCCACGTGCTCCAATTATGGCGAAATTCTATTTCGGTCCCCGATTTATTCTCCACCACTTGTTAACCGCGGCGCCCGTCGACCGTCCCGAGTCCCGAACAGACCCGAGAGGACGGACTTACCTGCGCGAAAATCGGCCGGCATGACGGCGCAACTTGGCTGACCCGCGGACTCACAACACCACAAACACAAACGTGTCCCGGCGACGAAAGTTCCAATGGGGGACGGTCTCGGAACCACCGGAGAGGAAGAGAGAGAGAGAGAGAGAGAGAGAGAGAGAGAGAGAGAGAGGGAGAGAGGGAAGAGAGAGAGAGAGAGAGACCCGCACACTCCGTCCGACAGTCTCTTTATGAACGAGAGTGATCGCAAGCCCGCTTCTGTCGCGGAGGACATGTGGCCACTCTTCGCGCTGTAACACTCGACCTACACGAGCGCGTGCTCGCTCTCCCTACCTCAGAAATAGCAACGTCACCGCGTATATCGCTGTGCGTTTGTATCGCGCTTGCCGCGAGCGAGCGAGCGAGCGAGCGAGCGAGCGAGCGAGTTTGCCGCTCTTACCGCTTTACCTTGTTCCCATGATGTGTCTACCTTTGGCTGAGTTTACCTGAGGAAGCGTCATTGTGACATGATTTGAAGCGAGCTTTTGGCATCGCGTCGACACGATACCGAGTAAACAGTCGTGCCGCAATGAGAGGTTGGGACGGAAGAGAGAGAGAGAGAGAGAGAGAGAGAGAGAGAGAGAGAGAGAGAGAGAGAGTCTCGAACTGAGCTTCGTTATTTGATTTGCACAGTGTCTCCTCCAGAATATGGACCGCGAGATGGGAGGATACTAAATTTGGAGTAGGGAATTTATATAGTCGTGTTTCTCGACCGTCGCGACAATACGCGTCGCTTTCTGGACCACCGCTATTTTTATATACCGCTGGCGCGCAGTACTGCGCGAGTAGCGACGGAACCGTTCGGATTTTCAAGGTCCGATTTTACAGACTGTCTCTCGTCAGATGTTTTCTTCTTCTCTGTATATATTTAGCAGTTTATAACAGGTTACAACTCTTTCCGACGCGTCTCTCGGTGGGCGCGCTCTTTGGTCGAATAAAAATTACCGAGCAAACACGAGCTACGTGTTACTCTCATTCGTACCGAAGGTAATTTTCTACGGAGAGTCAGTTGGCGGGCCTTTGGTGCGTAATCGTTGTCGGCACACGTGTACCCTCGCATGAGAGGTGCGTATCCCGCTACCGAGGAAACCACGAAACTCATTAAAATGTCGTATCGAATTTATTTAATTCGCTGCCGCATCCCATTACAGCTTCGAAAACTCGTTCACACACTGCGCGCGCCACGCACGATACTCGTGTAATCCGAAATTCAATCTTACATCTCCCCCCCCCACCCCACCCCACCCCCCCCACCGCCGTCGTTCGCGCGCGCAAACGAACCCTGCGAATCCGTAGACCGAAATCCACCGCGCATTTCCGCACTTGGGCTCTTAAAGTTATTGTTATCTACACGGGAGTAGGAGTGGAAAGCGACACGATATCCATCGTGTATCTTATATTTACATATACATTAAGCCGCGAACGTAATTGCAATCGCGTACACACACACACACACGCGCGCGCGCGCGCACGCATGCACGCGCACACGCATACCACACATACAGACATGTACCGAGTACAATTAAAACTTTGGCACGACCGACGGCGATGGAGGTAATTTCCTGAATTTGCCGAGACTAATTCCGTTATTTCGAATTTCGTCGCAGTAGGGATAAGAGAGAGAGAGAGAGAGAGAGAGAGAGACAGAGCCGCGCCGCGTTATGCTCCGCGAGAGAGCAGCCACTTCAACGTCGGCCTTAACGTACATACACCGCGCGCGATATAACGGCGGCGAATTTTAGCAGAATGCGAGCGAGAGCGGCTCGGCCGCGAGTCTGTAACCCATAAATTCACTAATAATTAATAAAAAGCGCAGCGATGCGCCTGCAGAGGCTCTACCGCATAATGCATGTGAGATTTCTTTTTCGTGCGCTTCGCGCGCTGCAAAGAGAAGAAATAAGCAGGAAATAGGATAAATTCGCGGTATGCGCGTGTGTATGTGTGTCTGTGTGCGAGAGACCTGTGTTCATGCGTGCATGTCTCTAACATCGGCACGAGGCTCGCACAAATGCAACCGTGAGCGCGCCTACATACAGTTCGCTTGTAACTTGAAAGGGGAGAGCGGGACGTAGTAATTAAATGCGAAGATTGAACAATCGAGGAAACACTGCGAAAGGATCAGTGCGGCAACTATTGAAACAGGAATTACAATTGGGAGCGAGCGTGGAGGAGGTACATCGAATGAGAAAAATAACGAAAGGCGGCGTGTGATAGCAGAGCGAGAATAGGCACTTGGAGAGACAAAGGAGCAATGACGGCGAAGAGAAGCATAAATTGAAAGGAAATAAAAGCTGTGTGCTCGTAAAGAATAATCTAACAAAGAAGGCAAGAGATATTCAAAGCGGGGGAATTGTAGGAACGGCAGGTGCGAGGGGGAAAAGTTATATCGCAAGTGTGGAGGTCGGATGTAGGGGGTTTCGCTACGAGCAAAATGACACAACTCTCTACGGTGAAAAGATGCGGGAAAACTCACAAAAGAGACAAATTTCCAGAGCCGGAGCGCGGCTCGGCAAATTTCTACCTCAACTGCGGCTGGACAGCATTTCGAATAAACATCCGACGTAAACGTTTCAAAGGCAAAATATAATTTTCGCAATCTCGTCTTTTCCCAAATAACACATATATATTCGAGAGTATTTATTTATCCTGTAATTATTATATCACATACAAAACTATTTTGTGAGCCACTTGAGATACGCGCTATCTCGCGCATGTTTTCTGCCCGGAATAAACATTTCAGCGCACGGGGCGCTTTTTAATTTGTATTTTGCATTTTGCTTCGCTTGAAACGCAGTTCTACCCAGGTGATTCCGCCCAGCCGTGATACGGGGAGTAAGATAAACAAAAAATAATTATCGTAACGAATACGAATGCGGGATTTTCCATGTTTAGCGCGTGGAAGCGCACGGAGGCGTCGCGGTATGCTTCACGACGACTTTGCCGTCTTGCAAATCCTTCCTTTTCTTCTTTGCTCGCTCGTTTTTTTCTTTTTCATACAAAAGTAATCATCGTCAGATCAGTCTGTGGTCGAGAAGTCCTCGGCGCGTGGCGATCGAGTTGCGATCCACCTCCGTCGCCGCAGGATGCTCGAATGAGACGTTTCCGAGCGCCTTGGAAGTAAAAATCCGCAAAGTTCGATGCCTGTCCGATCTGCTTCCGTTGCTCCGCACGAGAGAGTTTCCGCCGGAACTTTCACAACGTCCTCCCTTTTTCAACCGAGGAAAATACCAGCGGATGGATCAGGATTTCTCGTTCAATTTGTGAACCACCGACGACCGGAATGCAATTTCGCCCGCTGAAAGTGGAAACGCACAGTGTAAGTTCAATTCCAGGGGTCTTCCGGTAAATGTGACGTGTTACGTCCACGCAAGATATTTGGAATGAAGGAGCAGGCTGATAGGACTGATCTTCGCGCAAGAACGATCCAGGAATCCCGGCGAGTCTCGGCGCGGCGGCGGCCGCGAAGCGCAGACGTCGGTCAACGAGGTTCAACGGGAAGAAGGAAGAATATTGCCGGACATATTGTATCGCCTCGGATGTCGCGTGCCGCGCGCCGACAGGAAGCCGACAATTACAAATGTTGAATGTTACGGGTAAACAAGTAACAGCGGCGAGAGACTCGTTATCGGAGAGATACCACTTAACACGGCTCCATCACACGAACAAACGAAGCAGTAAGACGTAAGTAAGCAGTAAGCAAATCGACCAATCACAATCGAAACTTAAGGTTTTAACGCCATTTTAAAACTTACGACAATAATCGATTGTGATTGATTGGAGCAGTTTCTTTACCGCTTGCGTCTTACTGCTTACGTTCATTTGTGTGTGATGGCCTTTAAACTCGGAAAAAAACGACGACGATGACGTCGGAAACATTTTCTTGTTTCTCTCGTCGGGATAATTCGTTCGTTCGAGGCAAACAATCCGGAGCCGGAGGCTTCGCAGGACTGCCGTTGCGTGGCAACGAGTTGTCGAGTTACGTCGAGTTGGCGTGACGCGCGCAACGTGACATAACGTTTGACCAATGTTGAAGAACACGCATACCGTACAATTTCGTCTACGTCTCGATGCCGTTCAAGGTGCTCGCGTCTTGCGTGGAGTTGTCTTGCTCTGTCTTGGGCGAAAACACGCAGCGGTAGATCGAGGCGCTTATGATGCCTCCTAGGAGCGGTCCGATCCAGTACACCCAGTGATTGTTCCAGTAGCCGTTCCAGACAGCAGGTGCGAAAGTCCTGGCCGGGTTGAGGCTGCAGCCGGTGTAAGGCGCGAAGGCGAAGCACAGCACCGAGATGCAGAGGCCGAACCTGAGCGAGAGCGAGTCGGAGTTACTCGCGTTACGCGGGTCCCAGACCGCGCAGGCGAAAAATATGAGTATTGCTGTCGCCAAAAGCTCAGCCATGACTCCAGCCGCGGGCGTCAGCTCCGAATTAAGATCCGTTATGCAGAAAGACGCGCTGTCCGAGAGCTTGGAAGCGCGTAGGAGCGCGTTTGGCGTTATCATCTGTAATTAGGATTAGAGTGAGAGAGTGAGAGAGAGAGAGAGAGAGAGCGAGAGAGAGAGAGACGGAGAGTGCGGTGGGAGAGGGAGTTAATTCAATTAGTGTGTTTGCGCCGAACAATGACGATCGACTAATCCGAGGTACGCGAGGCGTCAATAATGCCTTCCAGTTCGGATTCGGGTATTTTCTGGCCGAGCGCATCGTATCTATGTAAATATTCGTGCATGACGATTCTGTCTAGCCGTGGCTCTGACAGCTTAGCGTAGCGGCGAATGTCCGGAAATGTAGGAAAAGTTGGACATAAGGTCGCGAGATAAAAAGGTCACGGATTGTTCGGTCGTTATCGAATGAGTCGACAGAAAGAAGCAGTTTCGGGCTCCTCGGTCGACGACCGCGACCTGCGTCTAGACATAGAATGCGACTGGACTGCTTGAAAATTCACGGTCCAAATCAGGACCGTGTATTATCCACATCTCCAACATGGATCGAATATGTTTCCCTTGGTCAGGGGATAAATTCGTTACTACGTCGCTACGTCGCGAATAATCAGTGGATAATCGGGAGCAGATTGAAATTCTATTGTGACGGTCCGGAGGATCTCGAGTGTTTGGACGTTGCGATTCAAGAGGCGAATTAATTTTCGGTCGCTGTGATTAAGCGGATGTCCGCGCGAATCGCGATAAATCTCGAAGATCGGAACGCGTAATTTCCGATACGGCATTGCGTAAGCGCGTCGACACGTATCGACACGAGGTGTCCGTCGCATCGACGAAAGCATTCTCGCCCGGGTGTGGCAGTCAAAATATAATGCAGACGTGTTTCGCAATTTATAAGCGAATAAGTATAAGCGAGTATTCATTGACCTTCAGCAGGCCGTAACCTATCAGACCACCCAAACATTGTGCAACCATGTAGACTCCAGCGATCGGGAGGGACGTGTTGCCGACGATTACGGCCGCCGCTGTAACAGCCGGATTAAGGTGAGCCCCGCTGATGTGGCCAACACACTGAAAGAGAAGAGAGAAGGAAAATCACCAATAATCTGAATGTGAACGACGGGCTTTCCGGGACGTCGCTTCTCTCGGTTCTAAACGCGAGATTCATTATCGAGGGGTCTGTGTTTTTACATCCGAGACTCGGCTCGTACAAAGTAATTGTGCATTTTCACAGCACGGAAAGAAAGAAAGAAAACGACGTGGGTGTACAGGTGTAGAATTTAAATACCTGTGTGTGTGTGTATGTGTGTAAACAAGTATATATACACACTTGCAAAATGTATAAATCGAGACGCGAAACCACGTCGATTGTTTATATCGTACACAGATATGGAATAAAACATCAGGCCGACGAGTACGAGATTGACTCGTCCGAGTACGAATGCGAGTTTGTAAATACCTGTATCGCGACCATAACGGCGAAGCCAAAGGTGAGGGCGATTTGCACGGACGACGGCGGTAGTGGTCCCATAGTGCCGATACATCCCATACATCCCACGAACACCAGCATCGCCGTGCCGATCACTTCCCCCAGAGCGGCCAAGAACGTGTCCCACAACGTGGTGTCCACCTTCACGAGCTTCTTCAGCCCTGAAAGGCGCGAACGCATGCTTCCGTGTTGAATTTATCTCGATGCGCGGTGCCGACGACGCCGTCGTCGTATTTATCGTATTTATCGATGATAAATCTCCGGCCGATTATCATAAATTCGGTCCCGCTTAACCTTTTAGCAGCTACGACGCACTGCCCAACTGAAAATCACGCGCTGTGCGAGTGCGAGTGCGTGGCTTACCACACGATATTAATTTACCGATCTCTCGAGAAGCGCGTCGCCGAGATCTGACCGCGCGAGTAGTTGGTGCGCTTCGATATATAGACTGGGACTGGTTTGCTCAGGAATCGCCTCGTTCGAAGACAACAAAGGTGTGCTGCGAGGTGTACTGTATCATACACCGAAAATCTCTAGTACATACCATAAATTCTAGAGTTTCAGCGCTGTTGACGCGGCATCTCGCAGCGTAGAATTGAAAGCCCAATATTTGTCGATATTCCTCGATTTCACTCGTAGCCTACATTGCTTATATACAATAAGAAAATAAAGAAGATCGCGCAACGAAGGAAGGGAGCGCGTCGAATCTTGTCGCGATTGAAAACCACTGCTGACAGACTCTCTGCGAGTGTGCGAGAAAAAATTTGCAAACAAATGCACGTCTTTCGTGTACGGTTGTATATCCGTCGCCGTCGTTTAAAGGCGAGGGTGTGCACCTTTCGTAAATGAGCAACTGTTCTCTCAGGGTGTGCATATACACGCAGCAGGCCTTTCGCCGGTAAAGGGTTAGTGGAAAGTGAACGTACGCATGGGTACTTCGCGATCATTTCCGACGCGACAAGAGCGACGCGTATATACGCGTCGAACTTTCAAGTCCACGTCGCGGGTACAGTCGGGAGTGAGTCGGGAAATCGCCGTGAATTATTGTACACGCGGATTATTCCACTTGCTACAATCTACGTAATAACTTCTTGTGTCGCTTCTACAAAATATAAATTAACAAGACGCGAGACTCGAGAGAGAGCGAGAGAGAGAGAGAGAGAGAGAGAGAGAGAGAGAGAGAGAGAGAGAGAGAGAGAGAGAGAGAGAGAGAGAGAGAGCGACGGCAGAAAGCTGCGCCAAAGCGAGACTGCGCGCGAATAATTTACGGATGTCGCGAGAGGAAGGGTAAAAATAAAATGCAGCTTTGTGTTATGGCTTAGCAGGCATCGCGGCGAGTGCATCGTAGCCTCTCTCGTGCTTTTGTGAAAAAGTATGAAAACTTGCGCTCTCTCATTATACCGACGGTCTACCGTACACGTGCCCGGCACGGCAGCGCGTATTTAATTAAAAGGCAACTATTGCACAAACGGACAGTCCAACGGAGGTATACATTTTTATTACTGCACATTAAACGGGCCGAAGCCGCTGAATGTATAATCGAGTGAAGTCAAGAGACGAAGGCTCGCCCGTTCAACGTAACCGTGAAACGACGCTTCGTTTTCCGAGATAAATGTGTAAGGGCGATGCGTATTCAAACGCGCGTATTCAAACAGGCGTCTACGACCTGTGTGTGCGCGGGTCTTTTGAATCACTGGTATAAACGATACGAAAAGTTGCTCGACAAGGCTCGCGACACGGATCTGCATTTTTTCTTCAAACGTATCTTTGCCAAGAAATTATTGCCATCACATCGTCTCGTCATGTGTTATTATTTTGTCACATGCATATGTTTCTTTGGGTGCAACACGAGGTGCAAGAATATAATTGGGTGCGTTTATTTCCCCTTACAGTCCGGCATTTGTGTCGAGGTTTCACTTGGAAAAGTATTCAGGGGAGGTCTCCGTCCTTCGGAGTAAATCCTCCAAAAGTATAATGGCGTTCAGCACGCGGAAGGACGTTTTTGAATCGACAGGTAGGATAACTTGGACCGCCACTCTGCTGTAAACTTTCGAGCAGAAACTTTGTTCGCCTCGCGTCGAACGCGATTACCACTGCTACAAACTTACGAAGGTATGGGTCAACGTTGAATTTACATGAAAACATTGGAGCAAAGTTATGCACATCGGAGGTCGATGTTCCAGCTACGGCCACGTTGTTAGAGAGACGCCGGACTTCGATAAGTATCCCCCTCCGTCGATTATTAAATGCCCCCTGCACCCCTCCTCCCTCGTTCTTACCACCCGACTGTTATCGCAGTCTCAGACAGGGATGACATAATTTTCTCGCCGGTGTCCGTGAAATTTTCCCGATGCAATTCCCCGCGGCAGCTCGCACGTGAAAATGTTCACGTGGCGGCTTTGTGAAGCGCTCCCCGCGCTCGAGGAGGCCGAAACTGTTGTGAAGCGGAAGTGAATTACGATTTTGCAGCGGCTAAATTAAAATACGCCTCCCTTTGAGCAAACTTACCGCCGCGGCGCCCGTCACTTTCGCGTTATTGCGCATTGTCCGCGCGGTGCCGCGTTCCGCTTTACTTCGCCCGCCGCGCGTATTTCAGCGCGGCTCTCCGCCGCGCGAAAATCGCGTCGGACTCGGAGACCCTTCTCTCTCTCGCTCTCTCTCCCTCCCCTTTCCTCCTTCAGCTGAAGCGAGCGTGATATCGCAATGCCAATGGAAGAAGCGTATCGGCGCCATTTATTGCGCGCGTGTTGAGTAACGATTTTCCACGGGTCAACATTACGTATCTCGAGCGCGCCGGATCAAAAAGAAGTATATTATCGAGCAACGAGCGGAAAGTAATCACACGCTACAGTCAGAGGTCACGGCCCCGCAGCATCAGCTCTCGTCGATAATTTTGCAACTACTTAACGACACGTTGTTATTAAAAGCTTCGCGGGCTCACGCGCGCGCGCGCGCGCGCGACAGTCGCGTCGATGGATATCGAATTTCGCGGCTGGGAAAGAAGCGACCATCAGTCGCTTATTCCAAGCTAATAGTCGCTTGAGACACGACACAGTCGCGAAAACCCTCAATTATTATTACTATCCACGCTATTATTACGTCGCAGCGCGCTGCGGCTTACGTTTACTCTCCCTCGTCCCTCGTGTCTGACATCTTTTTGCGCTGCTCTCGTCGACCCGCGGCGATATCGGACTCGCCCTGGATGCCCGGAAATAGTCGCTCGACTCAGCATTCTATATCTCACACGCGCGAGATGTATGTTTCAGACTGAGGAGAGATGAAGTCGAGCGCACAAAACGAAAGATTGAGACGTCCCGAAGTCCCGATCCGCAGGACTCAGGATTAAGATTTAAACATCACGTCTACGTCCTGCCATCTGCGTTCCTACGTGCTCTCGTGTGCGCTCTCTCTCTCTCTCTCTCTCTCTCTCTCTCTCTCTCGTACGTGCCTTCGTTCGTTCGTTCGCGTTCGGCTGATTCGTTATTCCGTTTCCCGCGCCTCGGCAGAGCCGCGGCAAAAAAAGGCTGAACGCGCGCTAAGCGCGTTAAGCGACGCTCGGCCGCGGCGTTTCGCGCGTCGCGTTTCCTAATGGCTTATTTGCGAATCTGCCGTGCACGCGCGCGCGCGCGCGCGCGCACACAATCCCCCGACCGCTCGTTCATACGATATTCATAACTTCGCGTACGGATGTCAATATACTTGGGGTTTAATCGCGCTTATACATATACATATCCGCCCGCGCCTCCTGGACCATGCATAGGGATGCCGGGGCACGTTTGCCCTAGAATTATAGCCGAGTTCTCGTGATTAACCGTGTGTCGCGCGGATATAATTAGAAGCGAGCACGTGTCACGTACGGTTTCCATTAACGACTGTGACACACACCGGGACCGATAGCGATCAGTCATCGACATTCGCGGATTAGCCGGATTCTGCGCGCGACGACGGGGTCGTAATCCCGGCGTGTGCGTGTGCGTGTGCGTGTGCGTGTGCGTGTGCGTGAGCGAAGCCGTTGGAATCGCGCGGCCGCGCTCATCTCCTTCGATAGAGTAATAACGATAATTAATTAAGGTTAACCAACGGGAGGGAGGGAGAGAAAAAGAGAGACGCTCTCGAGGAGGATCGCATCGAGGCGGAAGAAGCAGCGCGTTCGCGCGGTTTCGCTGCATTCTCGCACGGGAGAGACTTTCCGCCCCGATCGTCGCCGTCCTTTCGCCACTTTCTCGCCACTGCACCCGCTATGCTTTTTACCCACCGAGCCGGATGTGGGAGAGCGCATTTTCGTTTTGCCTGCTCGTTTCTTGCTCCTCCCGGAGCCCACGTTTCGACGGAAACAATTCAACGTGTCCGTAAAAACCGGCCGGTGATTAATCGAGAGCGCGGAGGAATGAGAGCACGCGACTTTACGAGTTCCCGCAACGTCTCGCTAATTTATCGCCGCTTAATGATCCGATAGGTCGTAAAGATCGCGCCGGCGGAATAAAGTGTGGAAAGCCATTGCACTCGCGCCAGATCAGATCAAGCTGTGGAATGTCTAACGATGTGGATCACCCGCGTTGATCTCTCATCCGAGAGAGGAGGAGGGAGGGGGGGGGGGAAGGTAGCCTCTCGCCGGAGCGCGACACGCCGCTTCCCGAGTTTCGCGTCATTCGGACGCGACGATATCTCTAATCGCTAATTAAAAAGCAAAGCGTCGAGAAGCGGGAGCCGGGCTGTCGGTAATTAGCAGGAAAGCGCGGCGAAACGTAATTACGGGTCGAGAAAGTAATCAACAACAATTGCACGCTCGCCCGGTGAAATGTCTCCTGCTTTTGTACACCTCGTCCTCGATACTTTCTTGCCCCGTCTCTCTTTCTCCCGCTTCTTTTTTAACGAGCCCAGCCGAGTCGAGCCTCGGTCGAGTTGTATCTCGCGGTAGGACTCGCGGCGGAGCTCCATTCGTAATTCTGCTCGTTGCTCGTTGCCGTACGCGGTCAATATTCGAAGGTCCTCGGACGCGCGAGAGACGCCGATCCCGCGGAAATGCGCGCCTTAGCGCGAGCGGGATTCCGGCCCGAGGATCATAAGCTGAAAAAGGAGACCGCACGGAAAGTCGTCCGCGTGCGCGAGTCGTCGCCGAGGAATAAGAAGGCGCGCGAGCCGATGTCGATACACTTTTTCC